GAGAAGAGAAGAGAAGAGAAGAGAAGAGAAGAGAAGAGAAGAGAAGAGAAGAGAAGACGATTCACGAAAGGATCGTATCCTCCGCAAGGATATAAGTCAAAGTATATATCCCCCGAAAATAGATCAGCTTATGATTTGTGTATCACGATAAGATCAAGGAACTAGGTGTCACAAATTAATGTAATAGATGATGCAAGTGACAAAATACCCGAGGATAATCTCTCACCTGGAGGTGGCTCGCCAGCTGTGAGAATGCGCTGGTGAGTTACTTTTAAGAACCTTCGACCGGGCTCCGATGAATATACATACGGTTGAGAATCTGAGACCACTGAGAGCCTTAATAGAAAAGGGCTCCTCTTTGGATGAGGGATGTCACGATAACCATAGATTCTGCCATGCACCGAATAAAGCAACGGTATAAGAGGGCGTTTTCACAGCAGTCCCTCAAACACAAGGCACACTCTTGTGTGACGAGAAAGCGATTTTTGACGTGGAGGGCGAAGGACAGTCCCAAGTTGAAGGGAAGAAGAAGGACTCCAGGTCCCTACGGCAAATTTGCAACTTAAGTAAAATGAGTTAATGCTTCCTAAATACATGCAAACCTTCTAAGATTTTTAAATAAGAGATTGCTCCTGATCTATAAAATGAAGAGTGCACTGAGGTTGGACCTTAACCTGAACTTATACAAGATCTTGGATGTACGGTGCTTGAACTGTCGTGAATCGTGATCAACGACAAGTTCTACCAAGTAAAATGTGTTACCGTGCACTTTGCGCAGAAGAAGCTTTGACTTTGTAAGGCCGCTCTTAAAAATGCATAAAGGTTGGATTCGGGCGCCTTTACTGGGAGTGGACTCGAGGGCCTCTGTTGGCGAGCCAGCTCTTATAATTCAAGAGAACAACTATTCAAAATTAATTTTATGGAAAAGTTGTAAGAGTGCTTGCTATCTTGGATAACAAAACATTCAGTATATTCGACCTGCGGCTAGCAGCTCACGTGTATGACAGCTATCTCTTTTATGGGGCTTGGAAATCGTCATAGATTTCATATTTCAGTACATATGTGTATTAATGATAACACCAACTGTCATGTGGCTTGCGGACAATTGTACCGTATTGTAGTAAATACAATTGTGTCAATTTCTTAAGAGTTTGGTGCACAAGATTACAATCTTACAATATATTAGCACAATTAAATTGTGTCAATATTTGGCTCTTGTCACAGACGTCGATTCCTTGGAACAGTTGACCATTATCAGTAGAATGTTAGCATCGATGTAGATACTCTCCACTTTTGGTCTTTCAAAATACGCTTGTGCATTGTGGTCGCTGTAGACCAGACGTTTTACGATGATGATACAGCGAAGCTGCTCCTGAACTCATGTTTTTGACGAAACGGTTGGCACGCTGTATCGAATCACGATATACTGCAAACATTTGGCAGACTTTATTCAAGATGCTTGGCAGCTGGCAAAACATGTCGGCCGAAGTCTATCACACAAAGTTCGTTGATAACGTATTGGAGTAATCATCTAAAGCACTTGCGCAGAGCAATGGTAATGGCGGGGCTGAATGCTCCCATATTCCCAAACATCACCACGGAATATCTTAACCGTAAAGGGAAAGGTGTTAACGATTCGGCTCGCTGCAAGACCCAACTTCAATTTGTGTTGATTTGGAAAATCATTTATTTAGCTTAATTGTTATACGCCGAGTTGCTATGGCTGAGAACTGGGATCGGCCAAAGCAGTGGCAGACGAAATACGCATGAATTTGGAGTGGGTGAAAAAAACTGAAAACTATTAGTCTACAAACACATGTAGTGTTCGCGATCTGTTAGGTTAATGTAACGGAGTTACACATACAAGGGTACGTTACCCTGGGATAAAGGGGTGGACACAAAATACGGTATGACCATGACTACACCTTAACAAGAAGCCACTACGTGGCGGGACTGCCAGTAGTTATGCCTTTTAATTAAGTTTGACTATTTATTGAAAAAACTACAGATTTATATATATGCGGCACTGTCGCACATGAACGGAATAGAGTATATGCCTTGGGTTAAGGTTTGGGTAACTTGGAGTTAGCGGATTGCCATCCGCTAGTTTAGAACGTAAGGTCAGTGACCTTAGCTTAGCTTCCTCTAAGCAAAGAGCTACGGCAGCCCGCTGCCCTTGGTGGCACTTGTAGTCAATCAACACTTACGTCGTCACGATTGATCTTCTCTGAGGATGAAGCAACTCTCATATGTGCCCTAGGATATGCGGAATGGATTTAAAGAGCTGATGTCCCTGCTTGGCCCTGAAGGCGTCCGGCACCTTGCTTCGCAAGGACCTAAAGCGATATGCGCGCGACTAAAGGCGTTTTTTAGCTGTGAAAATGCTCTGCAAGAGAACCTAAGCAGAAAATGTCGCCGTCGACTGCGTCCATGACACCACTGTCGGCGATAAATGACTCATCACGCCCCAGGCCGCTCATGGTGAGCGTTAAGGCCTTCGATAGATAGGATAGAGAATCTCCTGCTCTGGGTGAGAGAGGCCGAGATGGCTATGGCATCCGCCATGCCCCAGAATGAGTAACCGCGCGTGGCGTTAGCTCCAAGCTCGGTAATCGAGCGCGAGAATGGGCACTGAAGTGTGGCACTTTGATTGAAGCAGCGTATCCCTTGTGGACGGAACTGAAGCTGCAGCTTTTACGAGTGTTTTCGCCGCCTAACAAGGCATATCGCGTGCGATCGCGTTTCCTTGCCGCCCGACAGGGCAAGAAGGAATTAATGGACTTTGTCCAAGAGTTGCGCATCCTCATTTCCAGGATGGCAGCCGATCCTCTCCCCGAGGCGGTCACAGTGACCGTCTTTGTTGAGGGCCTCCGCACTGGCGTGGTCAGATTGGAAGTCTTTCGTGAGCATTCGTCTCCTTTTGAAGAAGCGGTGAATGTGGTATTGAATGCCGAATTCAACGTTAAGTCGGTACGCCTTGGCTGGAATGCACACCATAGTGGCTCGTCAAGCAGGCCTGAGCCGACGGATCACAGCTATATGAGGGCGAGAAGGCAGAGCTTCGAGCTGCCGAGCAGCGTTCAAACACCCAACGGTGTTTTGTATGAGGAGACACCCGTCACCTTTGGACATGTTGTCCCCTGCGCAAGGCGCGTCAAGGTTCATCGAACGGATATCGCCTTTCTCACCAGTCTTCTGGTTAGTTGCGGGAGACGACAATACCCAGAAGGGGCGGGGTGTCCTACTAGGAAAGACCTGAGTTCTGTTTAGCCTCAAAGAGGTAGAGGGTAGCAGGTCCAGCCTCGGAGAGCTCTGTGCTCTTGAGCACGGAGGTGCATGCAAGCCGGGCTTGCTGGTCGTGATAGCGACCGTGAAGGGCTTTGAGAAGCCATAGACGATCTTGATCGAATCCGGGGTTTCGAGCAATTATGCTGGATATTCACGATGAAAGAAAGCCAACTGTATGCTGAGGCGCTGAAAGTGCGGCTGAGTGACCCTTTCACTGTTTGCTTAGCGACGAGGACCTATGCTAGAAAGTAAAAGCGCGATTGGCGCGGGCCTGGCCCGGGACGTTTAACGTGCAAGAATTCGCGTTGTCGAACACCAAAGGTGTATTGGACGGCAGTTCCGAGCGTGGTTTGCGGGCTGAACGTAAAGTGGCACGTAACCCACTGAGCGCTGCTCAAGAATCAGAGAAGTCGTTGCATGCCATGCGTGGTATGGTCGGCCAAGGGCCGAGGCATCGGGGGCGAGGTTCCAGTGATGCACGTGAAGCGGCACGTAGCCCACTGAGTACTGCTCACGTTTCAAAGCAGTGGCTGCATGTCAAGAGTGGCATGGTCGGACGAGGTCCGAGGCATCTTGAGCAAGGCACTTTGAATCCGCGTGAAGTGGTACGTAATCCACTAGACGAAGACTGCGGAAATAGCAGCTCTTCGTCGGATGTTGTTAACAACATCAAGACTTCGGTGGAGCAGGGAGTGGGGACATTGGATGACGCTAATTGCGTGTTCCCACTTGTCTCGTCAGGACGTGGGGTCCCTGCGGGGAGACAACGGCGACGCCGTATATTATATTTAAGACGCAGGGTGTCGACGGACCCAGTGTGTGTCTAACGTAGATGATTGCGCACAGCTATAGACCCTTGTCAACGGTATGATGGGGGAGGAAGACGGCGAAGTCACCCTCGAGGCTAATCCCGCGGCCTTACTTTTCTTGAGCTAGACCAAATGTCCTTCGAAGAGTTTAACGGTGCCTTGAAGGCAGACGATTTATCCGAGGTGGTCATTACACGACCGAGCGAGGGAATTAACTCGTCGTCACTTCTAGATGAAGCTGTCCTGGAGGACACTAAGAGAGTGCTAAACGCACGAAGTGGATTTTCAATTTTAAAGAATTCCTCTGATCCGTACCATCCTTTATTAAAGGAATTGCAAGACGTCGTCTCCAAAGAACCGCCGTCGGTCCTACCTCCGGATCGAGGTGTGCGTCATGTGATAAACCTGGTTCCGGGAACCAAATACTGCGTAACAGGCCAATTGCCCCTGCCCAAGAAGCATTGTGACGTCATTTACGCCTTTTTCTCGGGCAAGCCCGACGCAAAAATGATGCGTGAGAGCAAGTCTCCCCATTTGACACCCACGTTTTGTGTCCGGAAGCCGAACGGCAAGTGGCGTATCGAGTGCATGCGCACGAATAAGCTGTATGCTGTGCAAACAAGTGCATCTTTGGCGCTGAAGAATTTCCTCTTTTTAGTTATTTCATCGGGAAGCGTGGCCATCGAGCAAATCCCGCTCATGTCAAGGCCACTGTGGACTGGCCATTTCTAAAGAACCAAAAGGACTTGCTCAAGTGGCTTGGACTCACCAAACACTGCACAAGTACAGCGAGAACTACGCAGAAATGGCGCAGTCATTGCCGAATCTCCTTAAGAAAGATACGAAATGGTGTTGGGCCAGCAAACATCGGGGGGCTTTTGGCAGAGTTAAAGGTAGCCTCCTTTATCCACCAAAATCGGTGTTGCCAGACCCCGATGGTCCTTTTAGTGTCGTATGTGGCGCTTCGGACTTTGCCATCGGCTGTGTACTGCTGCAAGTAGACGCCGAGTGGCGGGATCGGAAGATCGCGTTCGGATCTAGCCATCTTATGGCTGCGAAGAGGAATTGACCTGTCCACGACAAGAAATTACTTGGGATGAAGTATGCACTTGTCAAATGCAGTGTGCACCTGCTTGGATCAAAGACGTTTGTGATCTCAACAGATCATGCGTCATTACGCACTGCGACTCAGTCGCCTCGCCTCTCACAGATAAACCTCATTATTTGCGAAATATAACTTCGAGGTGAAGTATTAGTCAGGAAAGCAGAATGCTTTGGCTGATACGTTGTCACGCAGACCGGATTATGAGCTTGTTCATGTCACGACGGCTATGTCCTTAGTGACAGATTTGATTTGCACCGCATACGCGGTAATCGTTAAATAACGGGTTGCTGTATTATAGCACCAGTTCGAAGGATACACACGGAATATTGATTCCTCATTATGAGATTTTGAAGTACTGAATCTTCTATGAGGCTCTCAATACCCCACTCAGCGGTCATCTCGGTCGTGAGAAGACGCACAGCTGTGTGAGTTGCCACTACTGGTAGACCAAGCTGTACAAATGGACGAGCACAGATGCGCGAACGTGAGAGACGTATCAAAGGTTAAAACCCTCTCCGAATGCGGCGGCGCCACTAGCCAGTTTGCCGTTGCCTATCAGTCCATGAGTTTGGACTTTGTGTCTGACCTGCCGAAGGACTCGACGGACAACACGGGTTTCGTGGTCTTCGTCGACCGTTTGAGCAAGGTGGCTTATTTTGCGGCGGTGGCGGGCACCATCGCTGAAGTGGGTACAGCAATGCTGTTTGTCGATCGTGTCATTCGACAAAATGGACTACCGGGATTGATTGTCTCCGACAGAGACCCACGCTGAACTGGGAAGTTTTGGTCGACGATCTTCAAGGTACTGGGCACCAAGTTGGATATGTCACCGATGGTCAAGCTGAGCACGTGAATCGCGTCGTTGAGGACATCCTTCGCAGCGCTGTGCTGAGACTGCGAAACGCTGGAGCGCCATGCTGCCGCTTGTTGAGTTCGTATTTAACAATACAGTGCATTCGTCTACCGGCTACACGCCGTTCTACGTAAACGGGCTCGTTCATCCTCGCGTCCCACTGACGCCGCAACCCTATGGCTCGGGGCTTGATGGGGGGGAATAGCCAAGCGACTTGATGATGTCAGCCCCCTCACTGTTCGTAAAGAAGTCCATGGCTTCCTGCCTATCAGACTGAGTGTCTTGTAACACGTTCGCGATGCGATAGCTGAAAGTTAAAAGATGCAGAAAGAATATGCAAAAGGAAGAAGCAGAAAAATGTTGAACCATATGAGGTCGGAGACCTGGTTTTATTAAATGCTACTAACTTTTCTACACATGCAATTTCTACTGTCTTAAAGACAAAGCTCCGTCCGCGGTTTATCGGACCTTATAAGGACGTGGTCAAGCGGGGCCTTGCGTATACGCTAAATCTTTCGAAATGAATGCACACCCATCCGGTGTTTTGCAAGTGAACTAGGAAGCGTTGGCGCCAGAGTGGCACCTACAGGCGCTCGACCATCCAGAAGCTGAACCAGCAACTAGTTTTGAGCACGGAGTGCAATGATTTTCGTTTCCAACTGCGCCAGGTGCTCCACCGTCGCACGAAGTGACACATCCTCTGCTTGACGGCTGGGAGCCGCTCAGACAAAGCGCGATAGCTAAAATCGGTGCACAAAGTGTTCCAAGCTCTCTAAGTCTTCCGCACAGCGGTGCGACCGCATCATGATGCTCAGCGGAACACCGATGGCGATGAACATCATCCTCAAGAGCTAGATGAGCATCGCAAGTCACCAGATGGCGATCGACCAAGTCGTCATCATCAGCCGCCGACTCTTCTTGCCGAGAACGGTGGAGTCCACTATCACGGGGTATAACCCAGTATCTTGTGAAGTTGCGGGATGCTTAAGATTCGAGAATTTGCGGGTATCTGAGGTGCCATATCAGCAAGACTACCCAGACGTCGTGTACGCTAATGATCAGAAGGATCATGACGCTCCGCGTCGTCGTACGCCCCACGCTTCTCAACAATAGCTTGGGTCTGGAAGCTGAGCTCAAAATATGACCCTGAGCTGCTGATGGCCGGAGACGGTGTTGACACAATGCGATTTCTGCCCAGTGCTCTGAATGTCAAAGCGAAGAAATTTAACCAAGCGCGGGTAAACGGCGGGAGTAATGAGGTCATGGACTCACCCGTGTGAGAGACCACAGAGCTCGTGGGGGCGTGGTGTATTAATCCATACGTCGCAGAGTGACAATACGAAGAAGTCGACGTTGCGCCTTGAGTTTGGCAAACTCGAACCGAAGATGACGTTCTACGCGCACGTCCACCTCCATGTGACTCCGCTGTGAGTTAGACAGCGAAAAAAAATTCCGGTGCCGCAACACCCATCGCTCAAAGAGCGATTTATCATCTGCAGCGGATTCGCCAGGGGTGAGCACCACAGGAACTGTTTGCATTACGGGTACAGGAGCGCTTCATTTTTAGCTCAAAGTCGAGCGCGGTACCTATCCATTGGGATTTTTTAAGGTACCAAAAAGCGAGCTTGGAGAGTTTTTTGTTCGTCAAGCTCGGCTTGTGTTGTGGTCGGGGGCCTAACTACGCCCAACGATCGAGTGATCGCGTCCTTCGCTTCAGTAGCGGGATCCGCCGAGCGGAAGCCGTGATTCACACGAGGGTGTAGGACCGACCTTGGATGCGAGCGCATGCCTTCGAGCAGCCTCCAACTGCTGCTCCTGTGCCTCGTCGAAGTAGTTGGTAATGATACCACTTCCCCGGAAGTCGAAATGTCAGGAAACGGCACGTCGTACCGTTAGCGCAGCCTTGTCCTCCTTTTTTTCCCTGCACGCGG